CGTCTTAAAAACAAGAAAGTAACGCCCCCTGCCCACGATATTTCCGTCAGAAATTGTTTTTGCAGGCATATCATTCCTAAATCATGCTAATTTATAAACAAAATATTGAAGGTTAAAGGGATCCCTCCATTTAGACGTTGCGCAATATGTGTACTCGAATAGAATCTGTGGATAGTTGTTAGCTGCATTTTAAGACGAAGACGGGAAGATCACTGAGGGATGCTCGTTTAGCGTATTGCTACCCAGTGTTGTAAACATTGCCACTACGAAACGGTTTGTGCCCCGAAAGAGTACCTTATTTAGTCTTATTTACATATCAATGGGGCCGCATTGTCAGTCTAAATCTCTAAGGCAAAGTTTCGAAGTCTGGAGTAGGAATCAGGATCAGAAAAAATCAGAAAACGGTGCAGGCCAGGCAGTTATTAGTCCTGATACGGCGTAACAAGGTTAAGAACTACAGGAGATGGCAGGAGAAGATTTGGGTGCGTTTTCTGCCATCCATTGACCGCACCTGCACGAGATAGAGACGGCTATGTAGATGGTTTATAGGTAGAGCCTGTAAGGAGGGCCACCGGACCTGTTTCGCAGATGTGCCATCGATGATTTAAAGTCTGATATTGATCAGAAATTTATTAAAAAGAAAACAAGACACACGTCGGTATATGCCCTCCAATAACCTAGTTTTCTTAACAGGATTTCTTAACCAGCATGCAAGTTGGAACCTTAAGGGAACTGCCACTTTGAGGAATATTGTACAGTAGGTGGGCTATCTCGGGAAATCGTGGAATTTTTAAAATAAAATCCATGTTACGCAAACGCAGCTCCCGTTGCGTCTCCTAAAGCCTTACAGTAGGAAAGAAATGGTCGTTCTCGTTCCAGTAATATAGCGTTCGTTATAAATGCCAGATATTTAGAAGAGCGAAAAATTCAGAAACAGGAGAAATCGGGTGTATTATGTAAACTTAAGTTTTTAATATGGGGAAAGCCTTTTCATGCAAAAAGCCAAGTGAATAAAGCAGCACAAGTATATTTCATTGGAAAATAATCGTTTTTTAAAATGTACGGATACATACGGTTCCATATTACGTGCCAAGTAACGTATGACAGTAACTTTACAGCCCAAAGTTCAAGTATGCATTCAAACATGGTTCCACGAGAATTTTCCGTTATTCCTTCCCCTTATAAATTGCTGCAGTTTCATTGGACGAAGGCGACACGAGTTTCGCCTGATTTCGCCGACTGGAAGGTCACATGAGTATGCTATTTCATGAGCTTACCTGCGGAAATGTCAGGAATGCCGGTGAGCAATACATGTAAATGGAATTGTCAGGTGCAATCGTATAAGTACAATTTTGTGCCTGCTAAGAGAATTTCCTTTCCAACACAGGTCTATGTAATTCTTTCGGGATTTCCATTACGAAGAAGTTCAAATTATTATTGAAATTGTGGTTACTACTTTACGATTTTCAGTGGTTTCAGTCGATGGTCCATAAGTAAGGCTTATGATCTACGTGCTTATCAGATCCTTCAAAATCAGGTATTCCTTTAATGCATTTAACTTAAGGATGAGTTTGTAAACATTATACATTATGCAGTCGTCTCTTTGGGTTATAGTTTTAGAATCCCTCAAACATGTCAACTAACTGCCGAGAAAAATAAACGACCGCAAAAAAAGTCAAATATAAACATGCCTGAGAGAAATAAAATGCTTCCCTAACAAGTTACTGCGTGAAATGACGCTTTAATTAGATATTTCAGCATCAAGTATCTGCGTAACTTAGCTTTTTCGAAGATTATGTAAATATAAAATGGCAAGGTAGTCTCCTAGAAGTCAGTATAATGCACGTAGTGAACTGATACAGGAGAATTAATCCTCACGGCTAATTAGTGCCTTCGTCATGATAATAAATCATCGCTTTAGGGGCAGCCAATTGACAGGATATCTCCACCTGCCTGCAAGCTTTTAGAATTGAAACAAGGACTGCGACTCTAGCTGCAATGGCACCTTCTCAGCTTGAAACGTGTGGTACTTTTGCACCTGTGAGTTCCAACCGACCTTTATAGTAGCCTGATATGTATAGGGTGGGGACCAAGGTGTCCGTAACACGCAAAGGCTGGCTGTTCAGCTTTGTCAGCCACAGCGCCTGAGCCAAGCTTCGGTTGTCCTTAAATTGTTTTCTCGTCGGAGGCCACTGAGTGAAGGAGTGAGAAAGATGCTGCCTAAGTCCTCCTCACCATAAACTAATTAAAGCGAACGTCGCTGGTTCTGTGCGTCCAATTATTAGGGCAGACTGTGAGTGGATAGTTACTTGCGATACCGGAAATTTCTGAAGGCTATGCTTCTAATTTCTCACCGTTATTCTTACCGGTTAATGACAAAATTAAGTTACGTCCTAGGAGAAGTTAGGTATGTTAGGACCCTTAGAGATCCTACTTTATGCCTCCGTAATGAGAATAAGAATTGCGAAGTCCCTTTTAAATAGAGAACGGTAGACTTGTTCATGTGAATGTTAGTATATCGGCGGTCGTCTTTATATTCAAGAAAGCGAAATAAATTTGACATGTGACCTGTGCAGTTTTGAGGTTCGAAAATAAATTTAAGTCCTAATAATGAGCAAGGCAAATTCAACCTGAAGTCGGGGACATTAGAAAGGATAAATCTGATAACGGGCGTATCTTCGTAAATAATATCCTGTGGCTAACCATCTTATCACACAAATGCATGCATGCAAGCATTCGAAGAATCAGTTGTGGTTTTAAAGAGGTCGCCTGATGCTTGTGCACGACTGACGAGCAAAGCTCGTTTTGTGCAAAATTTGTTTTGCAGTCGATAGCCCATAAGTAGGAAATGGGTTTCCCCTAAACCTGCGATACCAGACGGAAAAAGAACATGTAAATAAGTTTATGCAATCGTTAGACAACTTTGTGGTGCGTTTTCGACTTACAAGTTGTTTTGTGAGTTATTAGTACATCAATTTTTGTGCTCGCATCATTATTATAACACTTTATTGATGCTGCTTATAAAGTTAGAAATATTTCTGAACGTTTTGTGCACGCAGTGCTCATCTCGGAGCCAAGAATAGAAAACAGTATGATTTTCAGAGGATAAAGGAAGGAGTTGTTTTTGTCTGACGTTTCGGATTCAAACTCTAATCAGTCATCCATCAACACTATTTTGTAATACTGTCAAAACTTATATTTCTGCCAGTCCCAAATGCTTTGTCTCAATCCCTCAAGGAAAACAAGGGTGCAAGAAAGGGCAGTGTTTGCTGCATATGGATATTTAAGCAAACAAGCGTTTTCAACTCGGACCGATCAAATTCTGTCCTCGAGCGAGTAACGACTCGATTAGCAATCTGGTTAGTTCATCGCCTTTTGTTTCACCCCTAGTCCGGCAGCCTCGCGTGGTCTCGGCTGCTTGAAGGCCGCGCGTGCGCACAAGTCTTTGTGTGTGGGCAGACTGGTAACTTGGCGTGAGTTAGTCTCATCTGGGCTTGTACTTACTTGCACCTGTTACTACTGTGATCATGCCGGATCTAGCCGCCCTCGATGATGTCAAGGACGGCACCTCTGCATGGGTGACGATTTACGGCAGCAGATCTGGAGAGCTCCTCCCAGTCTCTTCTCCAGCGTGTGAGACTGAATACCAAAGGTCCAAGAACCACATCCATATCCTGACGGACTGAGTCGGGCCAGGTTTTGAGTTGATCCCCTCTTCGAGGTTTTCAATTAGGTAACGGTTTCAAGTCGAAGGCAGTAGGACTGAGTCTTTGAGGTTGACAACGAAGAACGTGTCCAAACCATCCCAGTCGTCTTTCCTGAATAACCTGGAATACCCTTGTAATTTTTTTTCACAGCGAGTGCGGACTGTCTCATTTGAGACGAAATCGGTGTGCTTCACTCGAAGGATGTTGCTCAGACAGGAGTGCTCAAAGACTTTCAGCTTCCGTTCATCTTCCACGCGCATAGCCCAAGATTCTCATCCGTATAGGAGAACAGACCGCACAGATGCACGGTACGCGCGGATCTCTGTGGAAAGAGAGGTATTGCGTCGGGTCCATGGGCACTTCCGTGGACTAAAGAAAACTAGTCGTACTGCGCCAATTCGGGAAACAATGTCTTCTTTACTCTGCCTATTCGGCAGCAACCTCACTCCGAGGTATTTGAAACTATCGACTCATTCATCTTGACAGCCACCAAGCTCGAAAGGTGCCTTCTCTTGGGCAAGGATGCAGCATGAAAACACATTGGTCTTCCCAGCGTTTATGGACAAACCGACCGATTTCGCGACCTCGTTCACCCGTGACACCATAGACCGTAGATTGCCAAAGAGTGAAGCTAGTAAAGCGATATCATCGGGATACTCGTCATCAGTCAACCGGCGTTTGAGTACAATCTCAATACCGTCAGTTTCTTGTAGGTTCTTCCAGGGAACCCAGTCAATAACGTAGTTAAAGAGGATGGGCGACAAGACACAGCCTTGCCGAACGCCAGACCGAATAGCGAAGTGCTCTAAGAGGTTGTTGTGGGCTAACACTCGCGCAGTGGTGGAACAGTAGTTTGTCTTGATTATGGTGATTATTTTGATGGTATACCATCAAATGCCATTATCCGCCATAGAAGTCAGGATGGACGGAGTTCAACGCAGCGGCAAAGTCAACAAAGCAGATGGCCGTTGGTTGTTGGTAGCTGTGGCGGATTTCAAGGGTCCGACTCAGTTTGAATATCTGATCCACACATCCACGCCCGGCGCGAAATCCGGCCTGGTTGGGTCGCGTCCTGGAGTCGCGCACAAACTGAAACCACCTGGAACCTAGTCTGGGCTTTACTCGAGCAAGTCTGTTAGGACGGCTCCTAACCCATTATATCATTTAGATTGTCACAATAAACTGCAAAATGGCTTCCTACACATGGTCCACAGAACTAATTAGAAAGCGCACGCCCGTAAAATATACGTCCAAGCTAGCTATACGGAACAGTTGTCATCGATGCCCCTTTCACCCATAAATAAGTGGACAGCACATTGCCGATAAAAGGGAGAATGCAAGCCGCCGTACTTTGGCACAAGGCCTCTCCCAGTGTGTGCATTGTACGCAATCAAACACCTAAAAAGGCGGCAAAAGAGTGCTACGGAAATAATTATTACTGCACGCTAACTACTACGAACACAATATAAGCCAAACTTTGTGAAAACTAAGTATACTTTTTAATACGCTCTTAGCTGGCGAAGGTTAACTTGATGCGGTGTCCGACCTGATCAATCGCACGCTTAAATAACTTTCTGCATAAAACACCATTCCATCATGTTTGCTTATGTAAAATTAACTGTGGTTCTTATCAGGAGTACTCAACATTTAAATTATTTTATACATCTTGTGGGGAAGTTCGTCTCTGTTAAGCATTTTATTTCAAGAAAGGGCTATGTTTCTTTTATAATAATTTGGAAGCATGAAGCATTTGAGTAGCGGGCCTGCTACATCAGGTTGCCTGATGACTGCACTCTAAGTAAAGCACTGCGTAAAATATGCAAACTTCTCCATGCATATCCTCGTGCTTTTGGGAATAAGGGTATATTCGTGAGTATCTGTTTTAGAGAAAGCATGCAGTTGATGGCTTAAGGAAGCTTGTGACTTACTGTGAGGGCAGGTTATAATTTGGACCGTATAGAGATTCTTAAACTATCCAATGCTGAGACATTTCCTTCTTCTCAGTATAAGCCAAAAAAGCTATTATCCTCTGGAGAATGAGTTAACTGAATGCATTTTATGTGGTGTTTCTAAAAAACGATCATTTAACCATTAGGGGAAAGCGCAACATAAGCAGTCACTTTTTTAGAATGTCGTCCATGAATGCGGCATAAGGAAAGAAACTTGTTCCTCGTGCTTGATGGAAAGCAAGAAGCCTCCAAAATGTTGTGGTGATAAGGGTGACCGACCTTTCTGGAGGTACAACTAGTTCATTTAAGAAAGAATATGACAGCGCAAATGAACGTATCCTTGATAAGTTCTTAAAGATCTGACAGGGCATACTTTTACAGGTATTAGCCTGTAAAATAAAATGCCGAGATAATTTGTGTCACACATTTCTAGGGATTAACTAAGAGCCATAGTTCGCCAGGGTTGTCTCAACGACGAATCGCTCGTAGTAGATATTTTAAAATGCCTAATTATGTCTGCAAAATGTCAGCCAGGTGATTTCGACAAAGATTACTGAACAAGGCATGTCGAGGAAATACAGAGAGTTGATAAAATTTCAGGACCTTTTTTTAAATGTGTTTGGTCATTGCCAGTTAATGAGATAAGGTAAAGCCTTCAATTAAGAAGCTGGATCTAGCTGGATGAAAAATGATAGGTAAATCAAACATACCCGTATCTGCTATTGCTTATGTCTCTGAGGATGAATCCGCGATGGGTCTCGAAACGTCAGGCGAATAAATGTATTTTCATCTTCTTTTCAAAGCATACACTGTTGGTCTGTTGGTGCTCATATTGCTGGAGAAGTGGGGATGTTAGCTCAACAATTCATATTCAAGCATGAGTAAAAGCTTAACGCCTGGGCCAGCAGTCAGTCATGAAGAAAGGGGATGAGTGAATGGCCGGGAGAGATAATTGGGGTTATATGGTTACATCCATCATCGATCGTTATTACGGCAGTATCTGATTGACATAGCTGCATACAATGTTCTGTTTATTACTCCGCGTATTGCAGCAACCTCTGCAAAGCGCTAGAAACGTCCAGTCATCGCCCGAAGTTCGACGTAAAATGCAGTCGTTGGGTTTACTGTCTGGTCAGTATTCCCGGGTACTTGATACTTGAACACTTGGGTGTCTTATTTTCCGCCCTAAGTAAACAATTCGACATATGTTCACTTGATCGATTTGCCAACGGCCTCTGCGTGCGCCTACCTTATCTGCATCTCCAGTGCATAGATAGCATGCCTTTAGGTTGCCTAACTGGAATAGCCGTTATTGTGCTTATGAACTAGAATTTAGAGGTTGTGTGAATTCGTTCAATCGTGCACCAAAGCCGTCGCTTGGTCACATTGGACACACCCTTTGGAGGGAAGAAGATGCTCAACGGATTTAGTAGGAAGGATATTTTCGTAGGACTTTATTGTTTGCGATGACGATATTTATATACCTATAAATCGCTCCGGATACCCGTTTCCAAGAAAAACGCTCTTCAGGAAACTGATCTTGTCGTTGATCATACCTGTGGAACAGAATCCAGTGACTCTATTGAAGAGGCACAACAAAAAGTTTGATTTTCTTTGAATTAGAATAGAAAAAATAGGACGTTCATATACTGTCCCTTCAAGGGTGTTTTCTGATAGACTGACCTCTGTTTGGAACCACCTGCCCATCCTTGTATAAGAAAATCTGAGGAAAACAATTTGCTTTTCTTCCCATGCTATATTTTTGCTTCGTTCATAGCCTTAAGTACCAATTCCCCGGCTCTCGGGCTTTCGACTATTTACCCACCACGTTCCTTCCCGCTATGTCGTTATTTAATTGGACAGGTTATACTGTATTATGAAAAGGCAATGACCTATGCAACTTTATAAAACGTCGCGAAATTCTTTGATGTCAGTCAATTCTGCATAATTCTTCAGCTGCGCGATATTCAGAGATATTCTGGGGAAACAGTACTTGAGTTATCTGAGGGATTACTAAAATTTGTCTTCGGTTATTGAACGTAAACCTGCTAAACAAGGACAACCCTTTCATAGCTGACGGTTAATTCTTAAAGTCGAAGCCCTTAAACCACCATTTAACTTATTCACATTATCAGTTTATTTATGGAGATGGTGTTAAGGATAGCTTGTGTTAGCCCCCTGAATTTAAAATACATAGCCTGATGTGCTTTGGTTTATTATTTCATAGCTACGGAAGGTAACCCTCTGTGTACTTAACACTTAATTCATATATTTTCCTGTGAATTATGTTGTTCAAATTCATTCTATTTATGGAGAGTTACTTTTCTACCTTTTTTAATATCATTTAATATTATATATATATAGATTTAGAGAATTTATTTTTTGGAAAGTTACCAATTTCACATGTTTTCTTACACATTTCGCTCGTTGTCTGTGGTGGGGCACCGCCCTCAAATCACCCGCATTATCAGCGTTCACCGTTTTACACGATCCTAATTTTAGTGGTGGCTAATGGGCTTTACCTAACCAACTCTTGCGGAAATTATGATATGTTAAAGAATCATAAGATAGACTTAGTGGAAGGTTAACCACTTTTTCGGGAAAGTGTTGCCTTGAAGCCTATTTTTACGATCAAATGGCTAACATCATGGCATGAGTATCGATTTTTCCGCACCAGAACTTCAATTTTTGGAAAAGGAACGACATGATTGCCTTCAAGAAAGAAAAAATTAAAAAGTTCCGCCACCGAACGTTTTCTAAATACACACGGTCATTAAGGTGGAAGATTCTAGCACATCGCTTTTCCCCGTATCTGAAATTTTATTTTTTCAGTACATAATACTGCCAGGTGCACGAACGCGGAGCCAACGCGTTATTCTACCGGAGCAAAACGTGCACTGAACTGACTTTGTGTGCACCTATTTTGCAGGGAGTATGTGAAATGGAGCGCGAATAAAGACGTGGCAAGTCCAGCTTCGAGGCTAGAACTGAAAACACGAGAGAAAAAACGAGTACTACAATGAAATGTTAGTGTGCGTGAGTGAGTGTAGCTAAAACTGTTTGCATTAGCCAATGAATAGGCACAACGCACGAAACCGGATGGCCGGCAGAACGCGGGTCTTTTTATTGTTTTTACAGAGGTTAAACTGGGCGGCAAGAATGTTGGCTTTTGGTGAATGATGGCTGTGAAAGAAGTCAAATGAACGCGAGCTGATTCCTACAGGAAAAGCTCACTCGCAGGTCAAAGGCGTCCACTTTGCCAAACGAAGAACATATGCACAAATTTAACTGACGGTTTGACAAATGACCACACATTACTGTGCCGCGGTGGCGTTTAAATTTAAAGGGTTTGAGGAAGTAGCCAGATTGGCATTCTCAGTCGCACAAACACACAAGGAGACTTTGATATGATATGTGTAGTTGAACAAACCACGCAGCAAAGATTCCATTTGATGACGAAACAACTGGCTGATGGTTTTGTTTCCAGGCTTGAATTGGTACGAAATATGTCACCTTGCGGCAGTAAAGTAATTAATTGCCCATCTTTGTCCATTGTATATATTTCAGCACCATATGTAATGCGCAATTTATACGCCTTGTGTGAAAACGACGTTGCTCAGAAAGCACTCCCCGCCGACAACGGCACAGAAAGTATGGCATAATTTTAAATTGTTTAATTTATTAAAAAGTCATTGTGGCAAACAATTGTTTTTAGCCATTCATCATTAGGCCGGTACAGTGACATGGAGAATGAAAACGGTCAGTTAATTGCAGTGATTATATGATCGTAAGGTTGGAAGAGGGGGATTGGTAGGTTAAATTAAGAATCTGGGTTTTTCGTCGTCTCCTGAATGCGGGCGCCAGCGCGTTTAGGACGTTGGTAGCGATGCGCAGAGAAGACTCGGGCATCTTCTCACGGTCAGCTGGTTGATGTATGTACTTCGTGCACTTAACTGGTCGCTGTGGCTCCGTTTGGTGTGTTTTCGGACAGCGTGGTCTCAGGAGACGTGGGATTTCCGAGTGCAGTCGGCCAAGGGAGGCAGATTGCTTGTACCAGCG